TCATCAGATGGTCAGTCTCCTACCTGTAGGCGGACTCATACCCACCAGAGATGAGTCCAATGAGGGTGGTGTCATCCGCGAACTTCAGGAGCTTGACGGACTGGTGACTGGAGGTGCAGCTGTTGGTATACAGGGAGAAGAGCAGAGGGGAAAGAACGCAGCCTTGGGGGGAACCGGTGCTGATGGATGGAGGCAGAGACGTGTTTTCCCAGCTTGACGTGCTGCTTCCTGTCAGACAGGAAGTCTGTGATCCACTTGCAGGTGGAGTCTGGCACGTGCAGCTGGGAGAGCTTGTCATGCAGCAAAGATGGGATGATGGTGTTGAAGGCAGAGCCGAAGTCCACAAACAGGATCCTGGTGTAGGTTCCTGGGGAGTCCAGATGCTGGAGGATGAAATGAAGGGCCAAGTTGACTGCATCGTCCACAGACCTGTTGGCTCTGTAGGCGAACTGCAGGGGGTCCAGGAGTGGGTCGGTGAGGGTTTTAAGGTGGGACAGGACAAGGCGCTCAAAAGACTTCATGACCACAGAGGTCAGGGCGACGGGCCTGTAGTCATTAAGTCCTGTGATCCTTGGTTTTATGGGGACGGGGATGATGATGGAGGCCTTGAAGCAGGCTAGTACGTGGCATGTCTCCAGGGAGGTGTTGAAGATGTCTGTAAACAGACAGCTGATCAGCACAATGCTTCAGGGTGGAGGGGGAGACAGAGTCTGGGCCGGCTGCTTTGCGGGGGTTTTGTTTTTTAAAAAGCCTGTTAAGGTCTCTCTCCAGAATAGAGAGAGTCATCACTGGGGAGGGGGGGGGACCACTGGGATGGGTGATACAGAGGCAAGGGGTCCTGCTGGGCTGGGGGAGGGGGACCTGGTGGTCTGGGGCTGGTTGATGGAGCTGTGGGGGATGGAGTCAGGGCTGTCCCATTGTCTATCAAAGCGACAGTAGAACTCGTTCAGCTCGTCTGCCAGGCGGAGGTCGTTCATGGAGTGTGAAGCTTTTGGCTTGTAGTTGGTGATCTGTCTGAGGCCTCTCCAGACAGAAGCAGAGTCATTTGCTGAGAGCTGGTGTTGCAGTTTCTCCGAGTACAGTCGTTTAGCGTCTTTCACCGCCTTACTAAACCTGTACTTTGACTCTTTATACAAGTCTTTGTCCCCACTCCTAAATGCCTGATCCTTTTGCAGTCTTAGCTGTCTGAGTTCTGCTGTAAACCAGGGTTTGTCGTTGTCATAACTCACCCTGGTGCTTGATGGAACACAGCTGTCCTCACAGAAGCTGATATATGAAGTCACAGGCTCTGTGTACTCATCCAGACTGTTGGTAGCAGTCCTGAAAACATCCCAGTCTGTACAGTCCAAGCACGCCCGTAGATCCTCCATAGCTTCACTGGTCCACTTCTTGAATTTCCTCATCACAGGTTTACAGAGCTTTAATTTCTGCCTGTATGCAGGAATCAGATGGACCATGACGTGGTCAGAGAGACCCAGTGCAGCACAAGGGATAGGACCCACTGATTGTGGTGTAAAAGTGGTCCAGAATGTTCTCCTCTCTGGTAGGGCAGTTAATAGACTGTCTGTATTTGGGGAGTTCATGGCTGAGGTTTCCTTTGTTAAAGTCACCAAGGACAATAACTAAAGAGTCCGGGTAGGTCCGCTCCACACGTTGCTCTGCGGCGGCATGTAAACACCGACCAGTATGAATGAAGCGAACTCACGGGGGGAGTAGAAGGGTTTGCAGTTTATGATAAAAGATTCCAGATCAGGAGAACAGTGCTGTAGAATCACTGTTGCATCGTTGCACCAGCCACTGTTCCTCCACCTTTCGATTTGCCGGAGAGCTCCGTGTCGCGATCCCCTCTGAACAGTTGGAAGCCGGCCAGCTGGAGCGCAGAGTCGGGTATCGATCCACAGAGCCATGTCTCAGTGAAGCACAAAACGGAAGATGAAGAAAAGTCTCTGTCTTTCCCCACCAGTAGCTGAAGTTCGTCCAGTTTGTTGCACAGTGAGCGGATGTTTGAGAGAAATATGCAGCGGTGTGCGAAATCCAGTGGCGGGCCGTGCATTTTATACCTAGGCCTTCACTGTTGTCCTGCAGCTGAAATACCTCCTTATAACCACATGATGGCGCCACAGTTATTAGTTTCTAAGGCTGTAACTATGTACGTAGTAAATGTACGTATCTATGTACGTACGAGACTTACAATATGTTTGAAAAGTACTAGAGCGTTTGGAAAATGCAGAAGCTCATATTCAGGAAAATATAATGTTTTCTGAGCTCATGGAGGACAGTGGTTCTCAGCTGGTCTGGCTGTGGGACCCACCATCACTCCTTAATGACAAGCCCAAAGAGATTGTCTTAGGATTGTACTTTCACAACTCGACCATTGAACGTACTGCTCTGCAATGTCTTTCCTCGTCTCAGCACCTTGTGTCATGGTGTGTGGTACATATCACTTAGTCAGAATGCCCATATTTGATTGGTTGAGCTGCATCACGTGATGTGATTCACTGCCATCAGCCTCTGCTGGCTGTTAAGTTTCGTTTCACGATAGTCACGTGCTCGCCCACTGACCAATCACAGCACACTCTGGCAAAGCTACACATGGACACTGAGCGGCATGTAATGCTGACGTCATTATAGGCCGGCGCGCAGGCTCTGATAGTCAAAGAATACGCCCAACATGTCAAACTAAAGATCTGATTGGTTGAACACTATGACAATCAACAATATCGTCCCCATTTACTTTAATCTGCACTGGCTGCAGGTGAGAGTGTGCAGGCCTCTGCCTCTGTTCTTACCTAGAGACACAGGTGAAATCTGATCTGATAAAAGCTCTACTTAAAACAAGCTACACTGGAAGCAGAGCAACTGAGGAAGACAGTAGCTGTGCAATGAGAAAATAAGATAATGGGAAAAATATTTTTATAAATTATAATACATGTAGTGTATTTAAGAAAAATTATTAAATTATAAAATAGATATAGCTTTGTGATTCTGTTTAGGCCAGCAGAGCAGGCCTTGCAGGCCCTGACGGCCTGCCACTGGCGAAATCCACGTGTGCGAAGACGCACCAGCGCTCCGGCCCGTTTCCCTCTCCTACGGCGTTTCACTGCATGGGCTAAGGTGAGCGCACCTTTGACTAGAATGTCCAGTAATTCCACAGAAGTTAGCAGAAAAGTTGGAACTAAGTCCGCTGGAGTTGTACCCCTGATGTTCATGAGCTCATCTCTGGTGAAAGATACTCGGGTACTCGGAGGAGTATCGCAACATAAAACTGAATTAACGGCATGGCTTCATTCAGTCATCCCGACTAGCATAAGCCTGGATGTTAGCATAGATCATGTTAGCATCTGCATAGGGGAACCGGGAGTGTCTTCTTTTAGAAGCAATCTTACAGTAAAGTGCTTTGCCAGTAACAGCATGTTGGCATCAGGGTTAGAAACTGGAGACATGGAGCAGGGCCCATTCGGAGCGCAGGCCGCATGGAGCGGTGTCGGAGGGGGGAAGAACCGCTCAGCGCTCGTTGACTCCAGGGAAGTGAAGAAGAGTTTGGTTGTAACGATACTGTCCAGCAGGCAGAGTGCTGTTCTCTTATTTATTCAAAGTTTATTAATTGTGTCGCGTTTCCAAATTGTACCAAATTGGACAAGGCGCTCCCTTGGGTCCTGATGAGTCCTAATGAGCGGTTCACACACACACACACACACACACACACACACACACACACACACACACACACACACACACACACACACAGACATTACAGAGATTCCTTTCTTTATAGTTAAATCTGTGGTTCAACATTTAGGAATGGGCTTTCTTGTTGAGAGTGACTAGAAGATTGATATTCATTTCATCTGTGAGTCAAGTTTGGAGCTATAGTCAGGACGTTAGCATAAAGACTCAACGGGGGAAACAGTCCAAAGTTAAAAAATACACCTTCCAACACCTTTTAAGGTCACAGGTTACACATTATCTTATGTTTGTTTTAACTGTACAAACAAAAATGGGAAAGCAGCAGCTGGTTGAAGTGACAGCATGAAGCTTCCTTGAGTTTTGCGCTGCTTGAAAGATTCCCATGTTTGCAACTTGCCAACGTTCCCATCATTGGTTAACTCAAGATGGTTGTATATTTGCAGAGTTGATGGTGTGGTGATTAAATATACCAAGCAATATCTCCATTACCTTCAGTGTTAATCAGCTTGAAAGACAGACTCGATGTGAGGTGTCCATATTGTTTGGCTTTCAGGTACTTCCAAACTATGAAGTGCCAAGTCAGATATATCAAAGCTCTCACAAAAATCCAGGTTTCCCAGTCATGACTTGGATGTCATTGTCGACACATGCGCCATTTACAAGTCGGAAACTTGTTAAGTTGCAAATGGGAACCCTCATCTGACATGAACGCAGCGCTGTCGTCACAGTGAGGTTGGCAGGTTTACTGCTAACATGCTTGAACGTGCTCACCAATGGCATCTGGCAACCTGCACTATAGCGGAGAAGAAATGGTTGAATGGAACAAACTGTTGTTCATGAAGATATAGTTCTAACATATGACTCGCATAACATATTTCTATTTGTATACAGAATAAATAAACCAGACACAACATGTTAAACAGTGAGCTTTAGTGGTGTTGGTAGGTGTAATTTTACTTGGAGACTTAATGCTAAACTAGGCTAATCGGGTCCTGACTCCAGCTCTGTAATTAACGCAGACATGAGATTGATATTGATCTAAACATCGAACATTCGAAAAGAAAGCATATCTTTTTCTCAAAATGCTGAACTTCTCCTTTAATCCAAATAACGTAGGAAGACAATTGCACCTACACACAAGTCCCAATTGGCTTTGATCAAAACAGGACCATCTGGACAGATAACTTTTGGCAACACGAAAGCGGTTCAAATCACACTGCATTGTTTTTTTCATTGAACGAGGGCGTACATCTCTGCATGTGCTCTTTTTCATTATTCATTCTTGTGGCTCTTCTATTTGTACACTTCTGCAGGATTTAAAGAGAGTGCTGTCCTTCCCACCGTACCCCGGGGACTACCTGCATCCAGTGGTGTATGCCTGCACAGCAGTCATGCTGCTCTGTCTGCTTGTCTCCATCATGACCTACGTTGTACACCACAGGTGAGAAGAACATTTAGTGAAGGATGGCTTCACATTTTTTCTGCACTGGTTTACGCCCGTGAGGGGTCCCAGGGTGGCTGATGATCCGGCACGGAAAAGGCCGATTGATACGAGAGTCAGGACAAGGAGGAGAAACTAGGGAGAAAAAGAGAAGATGAACATGACTAGATGACTAGAGTTTGGATTTAAAGGTCCCAACGAATAGCAGGGAGGTTATTCCGAAAACAGTACTGTTTTCGGTCTGAACGCGCCGTCTCCTAGACTGCTTAAATGTCATATTAGCTTCAGCTGAACTTGGGAATTCATTGTAGCATGGAACAAGGACTGTGGATTGTGATCCCCATCTCTTACAGCGGAGTCGCATGAGTGAGGGTTCACCTTCAGGACCAGTAGGGACAGCAAGAATGGACAATTGTTCTTTTAGTGTACATAAGTGTACACTACTAAGTGTAGGCAGTGTATTAAAGGGTAACTTAGGTGTTTTTCAACCACAACCTTATTCTCCCATGTTTTTGTGTCTAAGTGTCTAATGGGGATGACAATATTTGAAATTAGTCCAGTACTGAGGTAGAACTCTGCAGGCAACTGCCGCCAAACGGGCTGCAATGTCATCGCTCGGGGCGACTTCTCTCCGTCAATGTACGTCCGCTAAAACCATTTTAGTTTATTTTTATTGATCCCGTCCGTCTGTTCGCTCTGAGAAATCTTGCGTCACATTCACATTGTCCAAATCCTCTAAATATCAGCCATGACATTGAACATCTTTTGGAAACACTAAGCTACACTTTCTGGGCTCCAACGAAAAACAAACTCTGACAACACCAGCTCTTATCGCTCCACCTCTCACTCCCGCTTCCACTGTTGTCATCAAGCCACATGACGCAATAACAAACAGCAAGGTAAAGAACAAATATTTATGTCTCTGTAGGGTCCAATTCCAAACAGATACTTGTAATAACAATCTGAGCCTGTCAGTGGCCAAGACAAGCTCTTTTAGTGGATGTATATTGACGGTGAGGAGTTGCCCCCTGAGCGATTACTTCACAGCCCGTTTTGTGGCTGCCGTCTGCAGCGTTCTCCCTCAATACTGGCCCAATTAAAAAAAGTATTGTACCCCTTAGTCACTTAGACACAAGAACATGGGGAAGGTTGAAAAATACCAAAGTTACCCTTTGAGGTGAAATTGAAAATAAATCATAGTTTTCATATTTGAATTGACGGATTAACATTTAAAGTGTTTTTGTTGGTGTTCACTTATGCTATTGAGAGAAAAAAGTGTTAATTTGCCATAACACAAAGATACACAACCATAACTACATTAGATATGATTTTGTTTCAATAATACGTCTTATTTAAATGACAGTTTTAATTAGAATATGCGTATGTCCGACTGCCAATCAAACCACCTCATGTGATCCATCCTTATACATTAGTGCTGTTTTTCCAGAATTTTAGCAATAAAGTCCGTATTATTTCCAAAACAGCTATATTTGTGTCGCTCCTCCACACAAGTAAATGTTGCTTTATCCCAAAATACTTCTCAAGGTCAAAGATGATGTGTGATAGTTCACAACAATACTGTATTCATTTCTACAACCAACGTTTATAGCGTGATTACCCAGCAGTGGTTGCATATCTTTTTAACTTTGAACTCATTGTTTGCAGTGTGATCCGCATCAGCAGGAATGGCTGGCACACACTCCTCAACTTCCTCTTTCACACGGGGCTGACGTTTGGAGTTTTTGCCGGGGGCATCAATCAGATCACCTTACCTTTTGTGTGTCAAATTGTAAGTTGTGGTTTTCCTACTTTCTCAGCATAGTGTTATTTAGTTACTTTTAAAAACATGTTTGGAACGGTTTGATGATCTAAAGAGAACTGAAAGCTCCCTCGGTTCTTGGTCAAGCAGTTTCGAGGTCACTGGCTGCTAAAGGCATCCCTTAAAAAACTGAGAGGCATCAATGTCCACAGGAAAGCCAATGTTCACTGAGTGTTAAGTTAAATCACTACCATGAGCAAAAGTTGTTGAGGCTTGCTAGATATTCTGTTAAAATGTTCTTTATAAAACCACAGAGTCTCAGTGGCCAAGTGTGATGAAATATTTATACTGTTTATCACTGTCAAACAAGACTAAGAGTCTACAGCCATGCTAGTAGCTCTGTGGGGTTGTACTGGCACAGTGGTGCTTTGTTAACATGCTGATGGTACGCTAAATGAGTAAATATGCAGTTAGTGGATGACAGCAGCTACAGTATGTCCAGTCAGAAAACAGAGGCAATGTCCACATTTGAAATTGGACGTTGGAGCTGTGAATGTCATGGCACCCACGTTGACCGCATTCCAGTGCAACAATTCGAAAAAACGTAATGTTTTTTGCTCCTGCCAGGTTAGCTAAACCAGTTGATATCGGTAACAATGTATTACGAAGTTGGACAGTATTGTGTGTACGACTGATTTAATGAGAAATAAATAAGACAAAAGTGCTAATAAACAACACAGTACTTCAGCTTTTTTTTTTTTTTTTTCTGTTGAGCAGCCATGTTGGATTTTGAGGTCATTAGACTTTCCAAGTTGGAAATCCGACTTCATTCCGAGTCCGAGTTGAAATTTCCAACTCTGGAATTCCGACTTATCAGTTCAACTAGAACTCAGCGATAGTCCAAAGCTTAAAATGAATATGCTTATCGACACCTAAAGCTCATTATTAACATGTCCAGCGCTATACCCACCGTAAGAAAACGTGTACAAAAATGAACTGTATTATTAGTAGTAACAGATTTACCCATACAATCTAACAAAGCTAACATTGGCTGGCATACAAAGCTAACCAGTAAAGTGTCCTAAATAAACAGTTCAAACAAAATGTGATGGTTATGAGTAACACTTGTGCTTTTCCTACTATGACAAGTCAGAAAACAAAGTCTTCTGTGAAAAAGGTCTGCTGCTGGCCTTTTTGAACAATAACGTCAGCTAAACGTGGCAAATGATGTAAACAAACAAACATCTGTTCAGCTAACATTATTATATGTTGATTACCTGTTTATCTCAAAATTCATGTACACAAAACACTAATACAACCATATGCTAATTTGGACAACAAACTCATATTGCTTTTAATAATCTTTGTTTACAACTTTATCTTTGTCAGGTTGGCATTGTGCTTCACTATGCTTCTTTGTCTACCATGCTGTGGCTGACATTTACTGCAAGAAATATCTGTAAAGATGTATCCAAAGACCCACTTCGGGCCCAGAACAGAGATGGGCCGGGCCTGACTCGCACCAAACCAACTGTCCTCAGGTAAGCTGTAAGCTAGTAAGCTGGTGGTTATGTGCACAACAGGGCTGAACAATGTTCTAATTATCCGACTAATTGACAATGTGTGAATTAATCTGAAAGATGTTAAACTGTGTAGCATATTAGGAATTATAGCAGCGATGCAAGTGCCCTTGGACCTCTGTCTCTCTTTTTCAAGATTCTCAGTTGAATTTGAGAATGTGTTGACTACAATCAAAGTCAAATGAGGAGTTTGAATTTGAAAGAATTGGAAGTTGAACTAATCTAAAATCTGAGTTACTAAATCACATTAGAGTTTTGCATCACTTATTATTGTTAGTTGATGCCTCATGTCCCATCACCTCTCTTAATAGATTGAGCTTGCTGCACATTTTAGCAAAGCTCACATTTTTTCATGTACTTCATTTCAATTTTAATAGGATGAGAGTTTAAAGAAATAAAATCTGATCTTTATTGCTAAATTGAGCTTAAATAGGTCATCACTTTGGAGCGCTTAATAGCCATCTTTCTGACAGTGTGACAAGTGAGAGAGATTAATATCATACTTAAGTCTCTGGGATAAAGTACAGAGCTTTAATCGGGATGTGGTTAGCCTAGCTTAGCATGAAGACTGAAGGGTTTCCCGTCACGGCAGCCAAGTGTCTAACAGCAAGATAATCAGCTTGATCATCTTCTGTCTCTCTGCCCGACCTGTTACCCAGCCAGAATTCATACTTTAAATTTTTTAACCTTTTTTGCAGATTTTATCTTGTGAGTGATGGAATCCCTCTCCTAATTGTTGGAGTTACGGCAGCATTTGGTATGGATAACTATGGCAGCAGGGATGACGCTTTGTAGTAAGTACAAAATGTAATTATATGTAGACGATCATGTTTTCATTTATTCTTTAGGATACATGTTTATGTCTCCGTGTGTCTTTTTCAGTTGCTGGATGGCATGGGAACCAAGCTTGGGGGGTTTCTATGCACCCATTGGTCTTCTGGTCTTAGTCATGTCCATGTACTTCTTGTGCACATACATCCAGCTTAAATGCCACCCAGAGAAGAAATATGAGCTGCGAGTTCTGAGTGAGGAGCAGCAGCAGTTATCATCTAGCGAGTCAAACCATCACTGCCACACCAACACTGGGGGAGTTTCTGGGCCCGCTGGGGAATTTGCAACAGGCGTGTCGGTACTGGCCAATGAGCACTCATTTAAATCTCAGCTCCGGGCCACAGCCTTCACGCTCTTTTTGTTCCTGTCTACCTGGGCTTTGGGAGCGTTGGCTGTATCACTGGGACATTTCCTGGATATGATATTCAGCTGCCTGTATGGGGCTTTTTGTGTCACTCTGGGACTCTTCCTTCTCATCCAGCACTGTGCCAAACGTGACGACGTATGGCACCGCTGGTGGGCTTGTTGCCCGTCGAAGTCTAAGTCCGAGGATGGGGACGGACAGAGCCCAAGGCAGGAGCTCCATCAGCCACACTGCCGCCTGAGCTCTCCATGCTCCGGCAAGCAGCCTCTGCTCTCTCCTCACCTTGTGCAGAGTTCTTACCACAAAATGACACCACCTTCCCAGAGCCCCATGACCAATCACATGGGTCCATGCTGCGTGGCCGTGATGAGTCCTGTTACCACGACCCCCATGTCACCTCTCACCGAGCAACTGCCCTCACCTCGTCCGCAGACACTCTCCGACGAGCTCCCTCGTCCCGCTCTGCCTCTACAGGGCTGCCTTAGTGACAGAACAAAGTCACGCTCTTTCAACTGCCCACGTCCATGCCTCCAGGACTACCGCTCGCACATGACCTCCACCAGTATGGACGGGAGCAGGCACAGCTCGCACCTGAACAACCCTCACGCAGTGCACCACCTCGAAGGCTCACCACTGCTTTCCAACAGCCCACACCCGGACCTCCAGCTTCCCTGCCCCAGCCCTCTCTTGGATAAGCAGCTGGCTTCCTGCCAAAGCTTGCAACGCCAGAACTCTTCCTGTCACAGCCGGACACACAACATGCACGACAGCATTACTTCCTGTCACAGCCTCCTCCTGCCTTGTCATGGGGTCCACACCTGCCAGTGGCACATGTACAGCTCAGCCGATCACTCCTCCACTATGAGCTGCTGTGATAAATCCGACCCCTTCGCCTTGCAGTACCAGCAAGACCCCGAAGCCTACAGCTGCATGTCGAAGCCAAAGGATAGTCTCTGCGTAGAGGTGGAGCAGAAAGGTTTCCCAAGAAATACTCTGCCTCGGCAGCACGGCACTGTCAGCCGGCGAGGTACCATCGGCCGGAACAGGAGCTTGCAGGAAGAAGGCCTGTTTGGTTCAGACGCCACAGGAAACATACGGACTGGCCCTTGGAGGAATGAAACCACTGTATAGTTTTCTTATACACTTGTCCCTGTACTTGCCACACCTTCCAGCAGCCCTGTAATCAAATTACCCCTTTAAGTGTTTGGGTCTCAATGCCTTCAGCTTTGCCCCTTGAACCAAAGGTTGAGTTTTCAGTGAGGCCTCGTATCCTGAGGAGATTTCTGAACCCCTTCATGACAAAGTTCTCTATAAGTGTGTTACTAATCCGTTTTTGCAAGGAATATTCAAACGCTAGAAAACTTCAAGTAGTGTTCCATGAATATTCTGCTCCATGTAGTTTAAAGTTGCAATCAGTACTGTATGGCTCTCTAGGGGCACAGTGGCTCAGTAGTTAGCAATGACACAGCAAGAAGGCCATGAGTTTTGAAACCCCATCAGTTCTACATTCCCCCTACAGTCAAAAGATATGCAGATCAGCTGCAAGGAATACTCCAACCTAGATGTTTTCACAGATTTAAAACTTTAGACCTGATCCCAAGCAGGCCAGTGAAAAAAGTACCCAAACTCAATGGGAATTAATTAGTTGTCTTAAATAGGAGATCTCATCCAGAAGAGGGAGGAAAGTCTGACTCAATCTGAATAGACCCAAAGATTGCGTGGACCTCTTAAACCTAACAAGTATGAAAGTTGATTGGGGCTCATAAATACTGTTGTCCAGCAATCATTACCAAGTTGGGACAGCAGCCATGCTGTGATATCAGCTATACTGACATTTAGAAAGGCAACTATTTTGATAATTGATCAATCTGTTGATTATTTCTCTGATTATTGGATTATGACAATGAACTTGAATCACCGCCTTCCGGTTGTATGCCTCCACCAACCAGTCATGTTGCAGTTCACATCCATGTCAGTCCAAGATAACTTCATCATTTTATCCAATAAGACATTTGTGTGAAATTGTCATAATTAACAAACAAATTCTTGAGTTATGGCCCAAAACATGTTTTGTGAGGTCACAGTGTCACTTTGACCACCAAATTCTATTCAGTTCGTCATGCCGTGAAATAGCAGTGGGAACTGGCTCACGTTATATTTATTTTAGACAGAACGAAAACAGGGTGAAAGAAAAACGTATGACGGTTGACACTTCAAAGTGTCATTGGAGTGCTGAAAAAAAAGACAGCTTAAAATTTGTGCTGTCCACTCATAGGCTATACTAACATTTTATTTATATAATTTGTTCATCATCCATAAAAAAACTAAACCAAAATACATAAATATTCTTTACAGATTTGAAACACTCACAAGTTCGTCAACCAGCAAGTAGAAGAATCGGGAGCTCCTGTGTTCACTGAGGTAAAGAAGCAGTAAAATATCACTGATTGCACCTTTAAATACTTGGCTTGATCGCTTTCAAAAAGTTCTATATTCGTCAATGTTATTACGTTTTTAATGGCATTGCTGGACACAATATCAATTTAAATGTGAGTGGTTACACATTTGAAAACACTTTTGAATCAGTGTGAGCATGTGTGTGTGTTTTTATGTGTGCAACAGTGCATGAGTAGATACATACAGATGCGGTGTTTTTTTCTGCTATATGTGTTTATTATTATGGATTCATCCTTGCAGTTATGATCTGTCTCGATAAAGATTAATTTATGAAGCCTATAAAGATTTTCTATGGAGACACCTTAACTATGCTGCCAAATGGAGTCAAATAGACTCGTCTGACAAATATTGCACTAGTATGTACTATAGTAAGATAATAATTTTAAAAAAAACCTGCAATGTGCTACAAAGCACAAACTTTGTATAGTGCCAAAAGACGTGCCAGCTTTCATTGTGATGAGAAACTACACACAGCTCATTCTCAATAGGCTTTGAGAGATCATATAGTTTGAAGCATCATACAAACTTGAACTCAGGTTTTAGAAGATCATCAGCAGCCCCTTTCAAGTCACTCCAGAAACTTCTATATGTTACCTCCAGAGAGGTGTTTTCATAACCAGTTGAGCCCGGCTTACTTCAGGAAAAATCCGGTTTAATTTCTGTTTCGTGAAAACTCTCAGGTGAGAGTTTTCACGAAACAGAAATTAAACCGGATTTGGAAACCTAGTGGTCCAGACTAGCCTAGTTCGGGTAAGGCTAGTTTTCAGTGTTACAATCGATGAGTCAGACTCAAAACTGTCTTCTCTATAAATACACTTGCTTTACTGTCTTCTGAGTTAGATGATGTCGGTGTAAAGCCATGAGGCGATTAGCCTAGCTTTGCAAAAAGTATGTTAAGTATACGCATACAGTGTTTCCTCTAACGTCTTTGCCACCACAGCAAAACAAAACACTCTGCCATCAATCATATGGAATTTATAATATAGTTGTATACCCCCAACTGGCGATATAAAACGCCAGTATGAGTGTTTATACCAGTGGAATGAAAGGAAATAGTAGTTTTTTTAATTTATTTGATATTTAAAACACATTTTTTCCCACTTTATCGAATACAAAAGTTCAAACAGATCGTCTGTAGAACATGACTAGTTCATTACAATGGGTCTGAGAATATGACAAATACGCCTAATAATAACGCAAATAATTTAAATGTAGTCAGAAGTAAAATAATCAAGATAAATTATATTCTAAATAATGTCCTCTACAAGTGTCTTGTCAAATTGTGTGAGAGGGGATACTCAATAAAAAAAAAACTCAAATACAGGAGATATAACTTTGTCCAAATAATATTTTGGCATTGTTTTTATAAGATATTTAATAGATTTGTGCTTACATATTCAGTCTCAAACAGCTTGACCATGTTTGTTCCCCCTTTCAGGCTTCGTGCTAAGCTAAGCTAATCACGCTGCTCGCTATGCTATTACAATGCTAAATTACAAATCCTACTGTGCCCCTGATTGGCTCCTTGTACTCCTTGCCCTTGTTGGTTGGGTTGGTAAGGTTTAGACATGAGCAGGGATATTGGGTAATGTTATGGGTGAGAGTATCATTTCATAAATTTCTGTGCTGAAAATGTCCCACCATGCATTCAGCAACGAGATACAAATGTAATGTAAAGTTTATTTTGTCAAACATAATCCTGGTTCAGCATGCTAGGATCAGTCGAACCAGGCTTTTCACAGTAAACCCTGCTTCTTTTTTTTTTTAAAGCCTTTTCTTTATAAAACACCTCTCTGGTTCATGGTATTTAGCGGCACATTTGGAACAAGTGAAAGTGTTGTGAGTTTCACTCATCCATACATTTGATTCTACTGGAGCTAGTGTTGATTTAAAGAAGGAATGAGTCATATCACCCTGTTATTTATTGCAGGTTAAACACAGATGTTCACTTATATGTCGGCATACCCCAGTTTGATTGCGGCCGTCAAGCGACACTAACCTTCAGCCTCACGTTGATGGCTGTGTACACGTGAAGTGTCTCGTCGTGTCCCGGTGTTTTCGGCATCTTCCCAGGCAGGGATCGCCCGCTGGTGTTGAAATCACACCGAAAGATGCTGTCCAAACATGAAATGTGGTATTCTTTTTTTAATGTATTTATCACTTCTATTGTGGATTTTCTCAACAGTGTAAAAAAAAACAAAGTGACACCCTGTAAGACAAAGGGATTCCCAATATGAGCACTGTGTGTTGTCTGCACTAGAAATAAAGATTTACTGTCATACACTGCGTGAGTCGTTGTTCTCTTCCTGTACAGGGGCCTAGCTACCATCCAGTATCCTAACGTCCCGTTCTCAGTATTTTTTCCACTCCAACGAATTTGGCAACTTGAGCAACTTTCAGACATTTAAATTGTGTGCTCACATTTGACAATTAAGAAGAAAAAAAAATCAAATAAACTGACTGTATAATTGAATACAAATAAAATATGAAAATGAAAATTTCCGAATCACTCAAAAATATTTAAAGACCTTTTCAGTGGCAAAAAACACATTTCAGAGGTGGGTGGGGTGAGTGACAGGGGGGCTTTGACATATGAGTATTTCTAAGATCCTAGCTATGGCCCTGTTTCAGTCTAGGGATTTAGTGTCAGTGTCATTGTAGATACTTCATTATAGACATCACTCAACACCAGTGGCGGCTGTGCATTTTATACCTGGGCCTTCAGTGCTGTACTAGTACAGTTGAACCTCCTCTTAATAACCTCATTATGGCGCCACAGCTATTTGTTTTGTGTAAAAACCGCATATTCACATAGCACTGCAACATTTGACAAGTGAAATAAAATGTTACATGAGGGCTACAAATACACTTAACTGCAGAGTGCAGACACATGAATACATGACGGGATGCTTAGTCATTAACGGACAATGCATAGAGTCAAAGTCAATGTAATTAACACAATGACAAGAACAAACACAAGAACCAGTCACATGTATTTATATGACAACAAAGCAGGTAGAATAGCATAAAACCCAAATAACACAATTCAACAGGCCTCTGCACAATCCAGCAAAACTGCAGCGCTAAAACACGCATTCTGCCACACACTCGAGGGAACCATTCAAATATTATTCACATCAGAGGGAACAATATTAACCATATCATAAAAACGACACCATAGACAAATTAACACAGTAGTACTGTAGTACTGCAGATGTAAAAACACAAAAGCAGTTCACTTACCAAAGCTGCTGTTCACTAGTAGAGACAAAGTCCATCTTCCTTTCTTTGATTACAAAGAGATGTATCGACGTACAGTACATCAGTTCAGTTCCAGCAAGAGGTCTTTCTCGATTCATGGATGCCAGTGATGACAGTCGAGCCTCCTGTGATAGGAAATTTAGTTTTCTAGTACATTTCTACTGTGATTTAGTTTATGTGCCTTACTCACTAACAAAACTATATATGTGACATATGATTGTGTACCCAAGAGAGTGGTAACAGGACCATATGGGGTATATCTGTCTTTGCTTTGATAAGGGGAAGTAACCACATGGGGCTTGCAGTTTAAACAGAGAATGTTTGGATGTGAAGATTCCCAGGGATAATCAAGGGTAATAAAGAAAGATCTCTTTGTGTGACAAGGCTCAGAAGATGAAGGGGTGACTGAACGGGTCAATGGGGAGCTTGAAACTGCTGATCAATTTTTGTAATGTTGTAATGATGTTCCCCCCTTCTGTGTGCTGAGATGCTTAAGAGCAGGAGACAAACTGAACTCTTGGCTCATCCTCTGCGGACTGTGTTGCAGTCAGTATGACGGTGAAGCCTTCTCTGGCCAGAGAATAAATACTTTAAAGGCAAACTTCTTTCCTCAATGTTTCTTGTTTCAGTATTCAGTATTATAGGACTCACTCGGTACTATTGAATAGTTTTTTTTCCACCACACTCCCCAGTTTCTTCAATACGTTTTAATGCGTTTGAGGGCTGAAAATGTCCACTTGATAGAGGCAGTCGATATTGGGATTGTCACCGCCCAACATGTCATGCTAACCCACTGACCAATCAAGCCGCACGTTAATGCTGACGTACTTGTAGGCCAGCTAGAAGGCTCTGGCATGTCAAAGAATACGCCCAACATGTCAAACTAAAGATCTGATTGGTTGACGACTATGACAATCAACAATATCGTCCCCATTTACTTAAACTGCAAATGGATTTACTTGTAATTCTGAAGGCCTTCGGGCAGATTTTTTTTACTTAGAGACAGCATAGGGGTGAAATCTGATTGGATAAAAGCTCAACTTAAAACAAGGTGCGCTGGAAGCAGCACAACTGAGGAAGACAGTAGCTATGCAATGAGATAATAAGCTAATGGGAAAAAATATTTAGAATACATGGTTTATTTATGAAAAATAATTAAATCATAAAATAGCTATAACTTGTGATTCTTTCTAGGCCAGCAGAGAAGGCTTTGCTGGCCCTGACGGCCCACCACTGCCCAACACGTAAACAGCAAGTAAATGTCCTCATTTTAATAGCAAGCTCATTAAAATATATACATCTAGCGACAGCTGTGAGCCTTGATCATTAGCAACATTTTTTTTCTATCTCTGAAATGCTTTGCCTGATATTGTCAGGCTCTCTTTTTGATAAGTCTGTCTTTTGGGTTGCTTTGCAGTGTAGGCAGTTGTTGTCAATGCTCGAAACGCAACTTTTCCTGCCGGATATTCAGCCGTTGAATCAGGCTTTCACCACCTGAGGGGACGTGTACGTAACTGGCACACACCACACCACACTGGGCGTAGACTCCCTCCTGGGCCTTGTGGCGGGGCGCCAACCTCCTTGGAGATTTGTGTGGCCGCTACATGGTCACGTACATCTACTTTTGGCAGGTGTTATTGCTTGAATGTGGCTGCTGGCGCCCCCCTTTTGGGCAACATGTTCTCAGTGCCTCCCTGTGCCAGTAGGCCCAGCCAGGGAGATGTCTTGTATTCTTGTCAGTTAGCCTAGCAAATTACAAATTTGTAGTATATTGACATGATGTCTTGGAGACACTCCTCTCAGACATGGGCAAATGAGGAAACTGAGTCATGCAGACAATCGCCACCATGCGGGGCTCATACATGCATACATGGCAGGGAAGAGCCACAGCTTTTAAGCATATTGTCACAAGGAAAGTTCTTAATTACTCCAATATTTAAAGGTTAAACATTGATCAATAAAATACTGAGTATATCATAAGAGTCATTTGTCGTTAATCACAGTTATCTACAACCAAATCGTATTTTAAATGCCGCTGAAATCAGCCGTCACCCAGTGCAGAATGTGCCTCACGACCCTGGTGTAATACTTTACGAGACCAAACATGAACAGTCATGGTTTGACATCACTTAAACCATTAGCATCTTATCGCGCAAGGTTGATTCATTGAGCTAGCAGGCCAAGTTGTCAGCTTTAGTCTGTAGCGTGCATGCTAACAAGCTAGTTTAATCGTGCTGCTAGCCAATCCAGTCGATCAGGAGAGAACCAGATGGACTGCTGGAGCGGAAGCGGTTCAGAAGAGAGACACCCCACTGAGAGTCAGTTTCCTGCATCTGTGTCACACCACTGCCCCGCTCTTTTAGGAGACCATTGGTAT